ATTAAAGGGTTTATAATGATCATAAATGCGTAAGTACCTAAGTAACTACTTGACATAAATCTCACATCATTTACTAAGAAAAACACCTGTAAGGTTGAACTCGATGTTTCTACTTCAAATGAAATAATGCTTACAGTGAAAGACAATGGAGAATCTGCAATACTGAGGGATGAAGCTGGAATCTTCTTGGCATCCTAGATACATCAAAAACTAAAAGTGAATATATTTCAAAGTGGCAAAAATTACACATCAGAACTCTACTTAAGATAATGTCTTTGATTTATGACTTCAATGCTGTATACCTGCAAACAGTGCATGTCATTACATAAGGCAATCTCAAACACATCTAATTCTGTACGTTTTGCAAACTTTTCAAATCAAAACACAATGCATGGCAAAACTGGCATTACTTTAACAGTATTCAGAATGCATCAAAATATCAATTATCAGTTTTACACACATTAAGAGGTGTTGACATTCTCTCCAAAGTTTCCAAAATTTTCTTTGCAGTTGAACTGGTGACTCCTGTAGATGTGTTGTTCAAAGGCTTGGCTTTCACCTGTCTTCTTAGCGGGGCAGCAGTCTGAAATGTTCACAAAGTATACTTCAATCAATGACCAATGCCAAATATAAAAACTGCACAGGTAAAAATATGGAGATAAAAATATTTTGTGTGTGATATTATACTACCACCATATAATTTAGCTGGCAATAAATTGCTCAGACAGAAATGTGTTGCCTGACACAAAACTTATTCATGTGGGAAAAAAAATGAGTCATACTTTGTAGACTGCACTGTGCACAGCCCATGAAAGACATGTTGTTGATCGTGAAAAATGAAAAGATATGAAAAAACATCCACCTGATATGGAGCTGTGGAGTTGAGTCTGTTTTTCCTATGGGAAGTTGCTCCACCAAACGTAGTCCTCCCTGGGTAGTAAGGGGAGCTCTGACCTCCAAATAGTGATGTATTCTAATGAAAAAAAAAAGTTGAAATTCCTTATAATCACATTAAAACATTATGTCCAGACAAAAGAGCAATATGAAATGGTTATCTTTAAAATTCTCTTTAGTATTACATTTCACACTTATTTGGCCTTATTACCTTCTTTCCCCTCCTCCCTCCCCCCCCCCTTCCTTCCCTCTCTCTCTCTCTCTCTAAACTGCCCACACCCACAAACCATATACTTACAGTTGCTGGGGAGCCAAAGATTGACGCATTGAAGGAAGGTCTGTGTGTTCTCACTGATGGCTGTGGTTTTGACACCTCACTGGTGGACCACAGATGACTGCCAGATAGTGACTGGGACATATCTGTCATTGAGAAACAGAACAAGACTTTTATTAAATATTTCTAAGTGACCCAAGCAATCATTCTGAAGAAAAAAATGCACAAAAAATGATAACTTGCAAAGATAACAAATACTTTTCATATTTTTAATGTACACACTCCATATATTTTTAATATAGCTCACACTTATGAGTCCAACCTTATAACATTATCAACTTTTTGAGAAATTGACATGGCCCCGAAACAGATGAGAGTAAAATTGCTTTCCTTGGGCCAGTAGACTAAAAAGGTTTTGGAAACTGCCTTAAAAATTCAGTGTATCTACTATGTGGATATCCGGGCTTTCATTATTTACCAATCAGTGAATAAATGAAATTTTCTGAAGTAGTCAATGATATGATTCAAGTTATTAACTGGCTAGCTTCTAAGAGAAAAATCTTACAACAATGAGCCAAGGCTTTCTGTGTATAAAATTATTACCAAGTGATTTCTCCACTGCGGTAGAGCTCATCTCTTCCCTGACAGCCACACTGCCACCCAGGTCCTCCCTCAGCTGTTGTAGCTGTGCCTCCTGGAGCTGTAGCATCTCACTCTTAAAATCAGGCTTGTCTGCCTCTGGGATCAGGGAACTCACTGGCAGAGACATAAACACAGGACTTAATGACACTTTCGATAGAGAGGTTATTTCTATATATTTCAAACATTTTTTCCTACAAAAATGACTTTTACCAACACCTGTGATAACAGGTGATTCAGACATGTCAGTTACAGAAAAGTCAGCTGTTCTTTTCTGGACTGCTTGCACTTGACTTTATGTAGCCATTTTTTTTTTTCTTAAGGTGCATCATGATTCTGGACTGGCATTCAACATAAGGTTGCATAGAGTTGCATAGAAAAATTCAGTAACATCCTCCTCATACCAATGGCCCTAGCACTCACCATGAGATAGCCCTCTCCTGTGATCCTCCCCTTGCCCCTTGTATACTGGGAAAGGAATGTGTCCCCCAGAGGTCCCTGGGGTGCTGGTGTGAAGGTCAGGTTTAAATGAAGAGAATGGGGTCCTTCCAAGTGAGGAACCTCCATAGAGCGGCCTTTCAGTTAATACACTACTACTCTGGTAAGAAGGCTGGCTTGGGTGAGCTTTTGATTGCATGTGAGGTGGCATCTGAGGTTTTGCCCTGGGTGGGAGGTAGGATTCCTGGAAATAAAAATCATATTTTTGTTATCATATTTTTTGCTGGGTCTTATTATCAGAGTACAGAGATATTTTTGTATCAACATCAATACTTTTCTATAAATAACAGGGTAACAGTCCTCCATATTTGGCATAGTTTCATGACACATTTTACTATTCATATGTATAGATATTCTTGGCACCTCAGACAATGTTGCCTGCCAGTGCAATCACTGACCAGTAAGTGACGTCATGTTCATAAAATCTACATTGCTTTGGAATTCTTTCCTCTAGTTTCTAATTAGGGATACTCATATGGTCATCACATTATTTCACCTAGGTGACTCACACATCTCCATAAAGAAAATGAGAAATATTCAAGTCAATATTTCAGCTGGAGTGCTTATACACATATATGGGATTTCAGACACTAACCTCCAGGTCTTCCCCATTGTCATTGTGTTCTTCTACTGTGTCAAGTTGAGGTGAGGTCTTCTTTTTAACACTGGATACAATATCAACTAGCCAGGATGGCGATAGGATATCTTTTACTGTATCTGTTACTCTGCTCAGCAGAGACTGAAAGAGAAAAGTGAAAACTCATCCAGTATATATGCTGCTAATTCTGCCAATTTGCTACTCATTTTTAACATTGCCCTCTCTTTTTTTCAGCTAAGCATTGAGAGATATGCTTGCACCCATTTTAAACATGCTTTTGTAAAACAAATGTACTAAAAAAAGGGATTTGGTCTAAAAAGCAGATTAAAACTCTGACCCAATTTAGTTAGTGACCTGATAAATTCCTAAAAGTTATGTGACAATGCTTTGGTAACAGAAATACCCGACAATTGCTCTTACATAAAATACAAGTAATTTTCAACTGATAATATTAAATTTTGGGTTATTTAATATATGCAATACATACATACTAGTACATAAATACAATGTATAAAAAATTCTTGAACAAAGAATTGGAAACAAGTCTGTCACTATCATAATGCTAGAATATTATTTTGCTTCTATCTAAATAAGTTATTTTACCATGTCCTGCAAGTAAATTTTTGTTTTGGAGGCAATATTTTTGACACAATATCAAGGTTATATGACTTTGTGATCATTCTCTAAAAGACTATTTCAAGAAACCTACAAAATATGTAAAGTCAGTGCTACAAATCTTTAAAACTGATGAAAGTAATGGTGTGCCCTTTTTAATATGCATGTCCCACCACATGTACAAGAAACGCGAGATCTTTTTTGAAACACATTTTAGTCCATATTTAGAAAGCACCCTATATCAATTTTAGATCTCAACGAATTCAAATGAAGAATCGAGGTTACTTTGGAAAAGTCAATCACACGTCCAAAATAGATGTCAAAATGAAAAAGGGACATAAACATCTTGTTCTCAAACATGGCAAACAGGCAATACAACACAAAGCAAAATGATATGGGGAGCTTTTATTAGTGTCTTCTCTTAACAAGCGTCCTTTCTGAACACCACAGCGTGTGTGGCAGTCACTCGGGCCAGTGGCAGTTTTCGTTTGAGAATAAAGCACAAGTGAACATCTAAACCAAAATTACCTGTCGTCTGTTGTATGGCTTATCAGTCGACGGTTTTCTTCGTGTTTGCCTAACCTTTCCGCCACCTGCGTTTGACATTGTAAAATTGATGATGCAACTTGAAAATAAAATAAAACTCGATCTATTTAAGAAATTCCCTCTCACGTTGTTACAATAAAGATGGCGGCATAATTAAAGATATGTGATTGGCTGTAACAAACCATGTGGTTCACAAGAGAATCCCAAACCGGAGAAAGGGCCTAACTCCGATAACTGATTTCGCACTCAACATGTGCTTTTTACCTCCATCCTCACTGTCAAATTAACTTTAAATTCATTTATCTATTTGAAAACTGAATCCTTATTTATTTCCCAGACCATTGATTAAAATGTCTGTTGTGTCGGTGGTCTTATTATTATTATTATTATTATTTTTATTTGATTAATGGGCCTACTGGCACTGCTCTAGGCCTACAGAGTAAGGAAAACCCCTAAAAGGACGCCGGAAAAGACCGTAAAGAGCGATACTTGTACATTTTACACCATAATAGCATGTGCCATATACTAAACCCCTTTAAGTGGTTTAAGAGACGTTCAGTATCATTTTAATTAGTTCGGTTGTAATGCAATCTTTGTGAACGCGAGCAACGCTGTGGTAGGGCCTAAGTATATAGGCCTGTCACATGTGCACCCCCCCCCCTTCGCTAAATCCACTGATCGCAGTTCCTGGGNCCCCCCCCCCGCCCCCCCCCCCCTTCGCTAAATCCACTGATCGCAGTTCCTGGGATAGCATTCCGATATGATTGCAGCAATCAGGCGTTGGCTTACATTCCCCAAATTTACAGAATTTATGCTACATTTCCTTAAGCAGGTTTAGTTAAAACTGTCTGTTAAGAACGAACCACAATAATCACGTGATCAAAAATCCCCTTATCATAGAACCTTAGCCTACCTGTCTAAAAAAATCCCCCTTTCAGTTTACCTGTATAAAACGTGGCGGGCGTCTTGTAGGTGAGCTGTTTAGCAAGGAAGTAAACCTACAAGTTAATTTAAGGTAAGTTATCGCCCCATCCCCCCACCCTCAAACATTTGAGATGTAGGCCTATGTATTAATGGCTCAAACACCCCCTTGGCCCTATTACAGTTCAGAAAATCCTTGGACTTTATGTAATTTTATGCCTATGATGTATTGGAATAAGTTCAAATGTTACTGTCTTTTTGGTGGTGTGTAAGACCATGCTGGGCTAGTAGGAATGAAAACGGGGGGAGGATGAATGTTGGGATACAGCTAGTAAGCAATGTCAAAATTTGACAGGAATAGTAGTGCGCTAGGAACCAAAGTCCATTTCCTTATACTCTATGCAGGTGCCATTCTACTCACCAATAATCTAATCATATCACATGGGACCCCAGGCTCCCATTTCTAGGTCTACTAGTCACCGACTAAGGTAGTCGAGGCATTTGCCTTGCTTGTTTGGAACCAAAAAGGCTGACACCCAGGGTACATGTAGTAAAATGGTCTCCCAAAACAAAGGGTGGATCTTTTGCCATTTTTCAACCTCGATCTGCCTAAAGGCCTGACTACTAAAGTAGACTGCACGTGCCTTCGATTTGACATCAACAATTTAAAATAGATAAAAAATTCAAGACATTCATGGCCCATACAGAGCCTTACTAGTATCTAAAATTGGCGATGTTTTGTTTTTCAAGTTAAGTACTTATTTTTTGTTGATGTTTTGTACCAGGTTGATATTTTCAATGTCACATATTATAACGGTTTCAGAATGGGTGAGGAATTCAATCGGCTGTGCTTAAGTCTTGTGGACAACCCTCTGCAGGAGGCTGCTGAGTGGGAGGAGTATTACCAAATGGTGGTGGAAGCTTTCTCCACTATTGGGAAGCTTCATGAAGATTTCGGCGGGAAGACTGAAATTTCAATAGCAGGTTTATATGCAGTATTTTATGTCGTGTTAATCACTTATTTATTCATCTATTCCTAGATAAGAGGAAGAGAAAGAATGTACTGTATTTTCTCCTTCTTGAAAATCTTCGCCTTCGTGTCGGTTTCATTTTTATTTACAATAAATTTTCTCAAAATAAACAAAAATATTAGTATGCCGATTGCTATTAATACATGAAGCAATGAAAGAAAAAACAGAAAATCATCTTTCATTTTACTTTTATCTCTCTTTCCTGTTTATCCATGTGATTTAATGTAGCCATTCTTTAAAGATAACGCGTGCTTGATGTATGTTATCAATTGATTATCATTGATTCAATCCTGTATTAATACTCTAGTATCAAACCATTTATTTCAAACAGTGCTATGATTGTGGCAGCTATGAAAGATACTAGTATAAACATGTCCAATTCTAAAGGTAGCTTAAACATCCAAAATGAGAGGAATGATAACATACCGTAACGGGGTCATGTCGATACTCCCCAGCACCGTTACTCACCCGCACTGTTATTCCCCCGCACTGTTACTCCCCCGCACCGATAGTCCCCAACACCAATAATCCCCCTTAGTAAATTTTTGTGTATTTTGCGCATCGATACATCCCCTGTAAAATTGCGGATGGAGGCGCACCGTTACTCCCCCACACTGATACTCCCCCGCATCATTGCTTCCCCGCATCGATACTGCGGGGGAGTATCGGTGCGGGGACGTATAGGGATGTAACCACTGTAACTATACGCACTTCATTATTCGTACGTAGCTGAATTTTTTCTAAAAAATTCCATGCAAATTATTTTATTTTAGGCAGCAGTGTTCAAGGTGGCAAATTCTACCAAGCAGACGATCTTGGAGACGTTGATATCGTGGTAGCCTCCCTGGAAAATATCCCCGACGCTGAGCAAATGGAGGATGTCCCCGGCCATCCAGGATCCGTGAGAATTCGGCTCGACTGCGGCCCTCGCGGGGAGCAGCACTATGTAGACAGCAGGTGCGTTAAGGCCAAAAACTCCCCAGAGGCTGTCTCAGATTGTCCAGGGCCTCTTAGTCTTTTTTGGTCAGATCGTAAAAGACCTCGAAGAGTTTAAGTTAGATCTGGTGTTTAAATACGGCACAGCGGCTCATACCCTAGAATTATCATCGGCCCTCTCGTCTCCAAGCAAGCAGCTGGAAAAAGTGGGTATTGCGATGACACCGTTGGCCAAGTCGGTGTCCGAGAACCTGACCATAGCCGGTTTAGTTGGATCAGGGAGAACATACGGTCCACGCGAAAAGAAATGGTTCAACGAACTCCACCGAGCTACAGCAGCCGAAGTAAAAAAACTTGAAGGGCGGCCCTTGAAATTTTCTGAATATATCAAATCAATTAAAAAGGCATTTGATATAGGGATCCAAATGGTGAGGCAGTTTGAGACCGAGACAAGACCTGTAGATAGAGAAGAAGAGGGTGGCAAGCAACCATCACTGACCTGCCGTCATAACTGTCCACATGAAAATCCTCCAGTGCCACTAGAAAATTCAACTTTTGCCACTGGTCCCAACCAAATTTCTGAAAACGACACATTATCATGCATAGGTATGTCATCGGCAGAGAGCACCAAGAAGGCAAAAGAAGCAGAAAATTATAGTGAAAAAGATAATCTTTTTGCAACCTCCACTGACGTCTCTCCTGAAATGGGTGCTTCATCGGGCATTTCCGAGGAACCACTGCAAGCTCAGCGGAGCATAGGCAGTGACGAAGAAATTCTTTATGATCGGAAGTCAGGTAACATCCCCATCACGAAAAAGAGAGCCGAAGAGTATTTCGGCCCCAGGCTGATGCATTTTATGCTTGGTTTGAATAAGGAGCAAAGTTCAACGATGGGTGGTCTTATTGGTCTATTTAAGCAAGAGGATCTGCCAAAGTCGGACGTTTTCCGTATCCCTTTAGACGGTTCAGGGCCGCCGCTCACAAACCAGGAAGAGGCACATGTCGCTCCCGTCCGTGACTATCCTCGCAAACTGCATGTTGATATAGTCCCTGCCTTGAAGTGTACTGGATGGCCTAAAGTGGCAAACTTGTGGCCTAAAAGATCGAGGAAATGGCCACCGCAACATGTTGTATCTGATATCTTGGAGAAGGGTTTTTATGTAGTTGCTAAACACCCAGATGTTGCAGAAATCGAGGACCCCGACAGCATATTCAGACTGGGTTTTCCTATTACAGAAAACCTTCTCAGCGATGCTATGAGTCCCACTCAAAATAAATGCTATCGTGTCCTGAAGGCCCTCCACCAGAAGCTGTTTAAACCCAATACGGAGAACTTCTCGTCTTACCACATCAAGACCACGTTGTTTTGGGTTTCTGAAGACACGGACGGGGGTTCCTGGTCTGATGGCGACATCGGCAACTGGATCTTGCTGATACTGAAAAAGCTTCGTTTTGCTGTGGGAGAACGCCAGCTCGCGCACTACTTTATTCCAAGCCTCAACCTTTTCCAGAAACTAACAGAAAGCGAGTTCGCTTTTTTGGAAACCCAACTCGATTCTATTATAAACGACCCCACTGGTGTCCTCAAGTCGCTTATACACGATATCCAAGAAACAGCAATATCTGTGGCCAGCAGAAGCTTGCCAGAGGAAACGGTCCAACCCCCAGTCAACTTAAACCTGACTCCTGGGCAAACTTTTCACGACAGATGGACGGAGGAATATGACAAGGTCAGTCAGGAGGCCATAGAGGCTGCATCAAGTACAAGTGAAATTGACGAAACCGACCCAGATTTTCATTTTGTGGCGAATGAATATAGAAAACTAGTCATGGAGCATAAACTGAGCAAAGAAATGTTACGAAAGGTGATTGGGCAATCGAAAGGCATGTCTTATCTGAAATATATTTACAATGTCGCTGCCATGAAAGCTACAGACATGAGAGCAGTCGTCCTGAAGGATCTTCGTGTTTTAGTGCGGTTTCACAAATATCTTGTGGAGCAACCCGACTTTGGTCCAGGCAACGAAGAAGCCTTGCTTATACGTGCCATGGAAGAGATAGGGCACAATGATCCAAACAGGTTTGATATGGCTGAACTGTTTCCCAAAGTGGACGTTAGTAATATCATTCAGTTTTACAACTCTATGAGTGTGCCATTGCCTGGCCAGTCGTCCTCGGGAGAAGACGTTAGTGGAAGGGAAAGCTTAAGAGCGGGTGGGGAAAGTCGGCGCCTTGTTGATGACATAGATTTGGATTGAACCTAGACTGAACTTTTTAAAATAAAAGTTTAATGCCCAGTATCCAAGTGAGCGCAAGTGAGTTCCAAACTCTAACAGCGTTTACGGTAAAATTGCTTGCTTGCAGAAATGCTTCGCGCAGATTTCCTAATAATAGTAAGTGCATCGAGAGACGCAACTAATGCAATCTCAAAAACTCAACAAAAGGCAGTAGAATAAGTTCCCTGAATGCCCTGTATCGATAAAATTGGGTATTTTGTTTAATCTTTGTATTAAGAAAAGTTGTTAAATAAGTCGCAATGATATCATTAGTGCATGATCAAAGCTATGATAAGCGTGTTAGCACTTGAGTATATACTTTCCCAAAAGATAGCGCTTTATGATTTTTAATTAGCTGCCTAAAGGATAACATCTATTGATGAGCAAACATCAATTTTTTGCTAATTGATTAGTATACTGTCCATCTATTTTCAGTTCCAGTCGTATTCATTGTCAAAATGAAAAATGATTGGTCCCATTGGTCACAATCAGAGTAATTGATTGGATATTCAGTTAACTGAATTTTCACATTTGCCTTATGTATAATCTATCTTCTTTTTGCGTGATTTGTAAAATGATTTAGTAGAATAACGGAGTTATCATCAGAATAAAAATTTATACCATTGGCAGATACTATATATCAGTGCATGCCTGTGTTTGGCCCAGTGCCAGCAGTGCGTGTCTTATTCCCTTTTTACTACGGGAATGGGGACAGAACGCCCTTTTTTGCTTTGGAAAAGGAAAGGGTCGCCCCTGGATCCGTTTAAATGCAAATAAGGATGAAAACAGAAATGTATGGATACGTTATTAGACTTGTCCAAAGTGAAATAATGAGCACTGCCTTTCCCTTTGCTTTTTCTGTTATAGACGTGTGTACATTAGCTGGCATATTACGATAAGTCAACTTTGCAAGGCTTTATTTTTGGGCCCATTCATATTACAATGCGAACAGTAAATAAAACATCAATGCTGCCTTTCTGAACAATCGCGTGTATAGAAAAGTGAAATATGAAATTGTGATGTGTGTTTTCCTAACGCCTCGTACTTGGTAACGTGCTGAATAAAGATCTTACAAGAGAACGGGTTTATAGTAGACGCTTGATTGGCAGTATCTAAATGTCGTTATTGGAATTACAGGTGCTTTTTCATACAGCGCATTAACTCCTTTACGTGTTCAGTGTTGATGTTTTCAATAGACAAATAGTTAAATCACAACTTCGGGGGTAATAGTATATTGGTTAAAGTCGCACCAGCAGTCACTGTTGCCACGTATAAAACAACATACAGGTTCGTAGTCGCCAGAGGGACATGTTAAGAAGACGGACAGACAAAATCTCGTCAATCTCTAAAACATCAATAATCATGATTGGGTTATACAACAAGTGGAAGTAACTTGATCCTTGTGAGACGTTCAAATTACACAGTTATACGGGATTTAACAATGTGACCTCAAAGGTTGTAGACACTGGCATTTTAGCCCGAACCTAAGGTAAAGTTCTTCGCCAGTCTTTTTAATCAAAATATGGCAACGACGATGGAAATAAAAGGCCGCCCCAAAATCAAAGCTACCGATGGCGTGCCCTTTCGACATATGACTGCTGCGCAACGAATGGAGGTAGCGGCCCAGCGCATCGAATTCCTAATGCACAGAATAGACGAACTGACGACACAGATAAAGAAATTACAAACTGATGTGAAGCTGAAGGACGATACTATACACTTTCTACAGAAAGATAAGGAAAGAATCATGTATGACGCGGAGAAAATGCGTCATTCGGGCTCTCTTCCATCAGAGGACTCGTCTAGCATTCGTCTGCAGCTAAAAATCAAGGAGGATGCGGTACATAAATTGCAACAGGATATTGTAAGATACAAAGAGGAAATGAAGAGGTTGAAAGACGTCAACAAGCGTCAGAAATCGCTCGTTAATGCAATGGCAGGTAATGAGAAAGACTCTTCTTCCCATCGCAACCGAGGTCACGAACAGTCTGACTCAGACATGGAGTGTATATTAAAAGTTATAGAACACCTAAAACGGGTGCTTGGAGACCACCGAGGTGATCAAATAAAGCGGATTCAAACGTATATCTCAGAATTAGAGCATGACTCTTCACGTGAGCCGGATCTTTGTCGTGGGTTTGTTTACGCTTTAGGCAATACTCTTGCGGAGTTGTCAACTTTTAGCGGAAACCAAGACTCTGTCCCCGTCACTCCGGCCCAGCTCCGCTCTAATCCTCGGGTACCCTTTAACTACACGGGGGTTGTTTTCAAACGCCCCACTCACAAAAGTAAAACTGAAAGTGTGCCAAACGGCAGATCTTCATCAAATGAAAAGTATAATTCAGAAATTTTACTTTTGGCCAACAGAAGGCCCTCAGCCGTGGCGTTTGCTTATAAGCACAATCATAAAAACAAGGCAGAAAAACAAAATTCAGCGGAAAACAAGAGTGATTCCCGACCCACTACGAGAGAAAACGTTCACTCAGACAATTCTAAACGAAGGGCCCCGAGCCGAACGTCGTCTGCAGCGATGAATTCAAGACCCGTTACTAGGGAGCGCCCAAAAACGCGTGAACGCCCAAAAGTTTCGAGGCAGGTCACAATTTTCCCACCAACAAGAGAGCGTCTTTATTCATCTAGACAGCGCCCAACTACCAGAGAAAAGTCAGCCTCGTTGCCAACTGGGGAACAATTTCGTTCAAGTGGGGAAAGCAGACCGCAGACGCGGGGAAGTGATCAGTCACAACATATCCATTTTGTTGGGATAAACAAGGGTACCGTCTTACCTGGACTGATTCCAGTGTTTACAGTGTGTACAGAGGAAGCAAAGTGACCTATTTTTAGGTACATTGAATTTATAGATCTCATTGTTCTAAGATTGAGATAGTATTAGGTACTCTACGTAAAAATGTGCATTATGTAAGAAAGTTTTAATGCCCCGCCTCCAGTACGGACAACACGTTCCTGTTAGTACAGATTGACACACTTTTCCTCTAATCTTTGAGGGGTAGCAGATCAGTCATTTTTAAACGGCGGTTTAAGAGTAGAGGGAGGGGCGCCTAGGTATTAAATAAGGTGAAGCATCCAAATGTTAGAAAAATTCATGGATTTAATTATATGCAGAAGTCTCATACGTTGAGTTGGAAAAGCTTAATTGGTTTTATCCCTATCCATATGTTATGAAATCTGATATGGACTCATATAAAAGAGTCTTCCGGCTGACACATGGGTTTTTTCATAGTGCTCTATTTGTTACACGATTTTGACAATCGCCCTTCAAACATCATCCCTAAAGAATAGATGATTTTGAAGTCTTATCTAATCAAGGTATAGGCTTGTATTCATCTCGACCTTTTCGACCTTCCTAACACTAACAAGGATAGCCTTCACGTTGACATTCATCCCTTTAAGATCATCACGTCTACCCATCCATCTTTCCATTCATCCTTCCAGTATCCTTCCATATATCCATCACATCCTTCCAGTATCCTTCCATATATCCATCACATCCTTCCAGTATCCTTCCATATATCCATTTTTATAAAGAAATATTAAGTCCTTAAAACTTCACTGAGTCTCAACTCGTACAATGTGTAAGGAATAAGAGAACGATTTAAAATTGATATATATATATACTGTATGGTAATTAGTGCCAAAGCTGAGTGTCGCATATTTTTCAAAGTACCCTAATGTAATATTCAATTGAAATAGTTCAACCGAAAAACCGAATTCAGTATTCACATTACTAGACTGTCAGTTTATGATATTCATTGTGTTTGATGAATATCCATGTGCCAAATAAAAGAAGCCTTTTTGTAAAACAAAACTATATTGGAACTTTGTTTACACATTTTCATATTCACGAAATGAAGAATACGGGATAGCAAATGTTACAAAAACACTAATGGCAAAAACAAAGCCTCCTGTTATATAAAGAGTGTGATTATTATGTCTGAAAAAAATTCACATGACCTGGTTCATACAGCCTTTTGGACAGCTTTATGAAAGCCACGTTCCGACGGGGTTATGTAGTAAGAAATCTTCGTGTTTCTCTTTTGAATAATGAGCAGTTCTTCTTAAACTTTAAAGACGTACTGGTACGAGCGTTTTAATAAATAGACCAACAACACTGAAAAATGCACTTCACGCAAAAGGTAAATGCAGAAAACCATATAGTTTATGGAATATTTATTGGAGATTCTTGAATGGACCGATGATCAGTTGATGATAAAAAACGTAAAGTGAAATATTGTCGATGATGACCAAGATTATTTATTTCTGTTTTGTGCTGAAATCCCACAAATCCTCTCTTTATACCTCTTTTCTCCGACATAACCATCTTTTAGATGAATATTATTCGAACATAAATTACGTTCCGCTTATGATGTCACATAATTAGTCAATTTTTATACAGCATAATTATATCAATACGCCGCTGCAGCAAATGATTTTGATAAAGAATATACATGCGCAGACAACAACGTGGACGAAATTAGATCGATAATTCGTAATGGATATGCCATGCAAGAGTTGTTTCAGGACTCAAATACGTTGTCAATGATTAAAAGGCATTCATATACAATAAAATTACACAGTAAAGCCATCAAATGTAGATAGAATATTGGAACCACAATGCTTGATGTTTGCTGCGCTAACCCTCAAGAATGCTGGAAAGATTGCTTTGTACGAGGATGTTCGATTTAAAAGAGCCCTGAATCACAGTCTAAATGGCAATCAGAGCTCTTTGCCATAAAATAAAATGACCCAACGGGAAACCACTGAACCATTCTGAGGAGTCAAAGGGAAAAGATCAATAAATAATAGCTCTATAAAAATCCACAAAACCCGTCAATTGATGTGCTGACATTTTCGATCTTGTCAGCAAAATGACTCTTAGAATTATTCGCCGAAGAAAGAACAAGCTCAGCGTGAAATGACATAATCATATGCATCTGTAATAGGATTTAGAGCTGCATGATAAAAATGTCATAGGATT